GACGCCGGGCTCGAACTCACGGACCGCGAGATCGTGACCTGGCTGAAGTCGGACGCTTAACCGACTGCGCCACCCAGGCGCCCCTAAAATATACACGTAAAGGGAGAGAAATGATATTCCATGTTCACTGACTGGAAGACTAAATGTTGTTAAGATGTCAGTGCTTCCCAATCTGATCTAGATATTCAATGCAGTACCAATCAAAATCCCAGCAAACTCTCTTGTAACTGTTAACAACAAACTGATTCTAAAGTTTTTATGGAATGCAACAGAATAGCAAACACAATACTGGAGAACACAATTGGAGAACTTATACTGCTTTCAAGGCTTCCTATCAAGCTACAGTAATCAAGATGGTGTGGTATTGAAAGAACGAACTCATAGAACAATGGAAGAAATATAAAGCCCAGAAATAGATTCACACATATATAGTCAACTGATCTTTGACAAAGGAACAAAGCCAATTCAATGAAAAAAGGATAGATTTTCAACAAATGGTACTAGAAAAATTGTACATCCATATGCAAAACAAAACAATAACAACAATAAAAACTAGACAGAGACCATCTATCTTTCATCAAAATGAACTCAAATTGGATCATAGACCTAAATGTAAATGTAAAATAATAAAACTTCTAGGTGAAAAGATAGTATAATCTAGGTGACTTTTGGTGATTAGTTTTTTAGATACAACACAAAAACACAATCTGTGAAAGAAAAAAATTGATGTCATTAAAATAAAAACTTCTGCTATGTGAAAAATTGTTTAGAGAATGAAGAAACAAACCACAGACTTGGAGAAAATATTTGCAGAACACTTATCTGACAAAGCTTTGTATTGAAAATATACAGAGTATTCTTGGGTCACCTGGGTGGCTCAGTTGGTTGAGCATCCGACTTCGGCTCAGGTCATGATCTCAGGATTCAAGAGTTCGAGCCCCGTTTTGGGCTCTGTACTGACAGCTCAGAGCCTGGACCCTGGCTTTGGCTCCCTCTCTCTCTGCTCCTCCCTCACTTGTGCTCTGTCTCTCTCTCAAAAATAAATAAACATTGAAAAAAATAAAATATACAGGCTATTCTTACAACTCAACAGTAATAAGACATATAACTCAATTTAAAAATGAGCAAGAGATCTGGACAACTCACCAAAGAAAATATACAGACGGCAAATAAACACATGAGATGCTCAATGTCATTTTCCATTAGAGAACTGTAAATTAAAACAACAATGATGGGGCACCTGGGTGGCTCAGTTGTTTTAGCATCCGACTTCAGCTCAGGCCATGATTTCACAATTTGTGAGTTGGAGCCCCACATCAGGCTCTCTGCTGTCAGCATGGAGCCTGCTTTGGATCCTCTCTCTCTCTCTCTCTCTCTCTCTCTCTCTCTCTCTCTCTCCCTCTCTCTCTCCGCCCTACCTGTTCTCAGGCGTTCTCACTCTCAAAAATAAATAAGCATTTAAAAATAATAAATAAATAAAAAATAAATACAACAATGATATACTACATGCCTATTAGAATGGCTAAATTCCAAAAGAGCCTGACAAATCCATTTGCTGGTAAAGTTACAGAGCAATAGGAGTTTTCATTCACTGATAAGAATGCAAAAGGAAAAAAAAAACTGGTACACCCATTTTGGAACACAGTTTAGCAGTTTCTAAACATAGTCTTATCATATAATCCACAAATTGTGCTCCTGGGTATTTGCCCAAACAATTTGAAAACTTATGTCCAACAAAATGTTTCACATTGGGATGCCTGCATGGCTCAGTCGGTTAAGTGCCCAACTTAAGCTCAGGTCATGATCTCACAATTCATGAGTTTGAGCCCCAAATCAGGTTCTACACCAGATTCTCTGTCCCCCTTTCTCTCTGCCCCTCCCCCTCCCTCTCTTTCTCTCTCTCTCTCTCTCTAAATAGTTTTTAAAAAACTTATAAAAAGTTGCAATTGATGTATATAGTAGCTTTATTCATAATCACTAAAAACTGAAAGCAACCAGGCTGTTCTTTATTATTATTTTTTTTTATTTGAGAGAGAGAGAGAGAGAGAGAGAGCACTAGTGGGGGAAAGGGCAGAGTGAGAGAGATACAGAGACAGAGAGAGAATCCCAAGCAGGTTCCACATTCAGTGCAGAGCCTGAAGTGGGGCTTAATCCCATGACTCTGGGATCATGACCCCAGCCAAAATCAACAGTCAGACATTTAACTGACTGAGCCACCCAGGCACCCCTCAAGCTGCTCTTTAATAGATGAATGGATACACAAATTGTGGTACATTCATACAGTGAAATATTATTCAGCAACAAAAAGAAATAGGCTATTAAGCCATGAGAGACATGGTTGAAACCTAAATGAATGTTGCTAATTGAAAGAAACTAGTCAAAAGGCTATATACTATATGATTCCAATTGTTTGAAACTTCTGAAAAGGCAAAACTATAGAGACAGTAAAAAGACCTGTGGTTCCCAGGGGCCCAGGGAGATAGGAGGAGGTTGAACCTGTGTAGTACAGGACATTTCATAGGGCAACGAAACTATTTTATATGGTAGTGTAATGGTAGATAAGTAACACTATGTGTGTCTCACAATCCATAGAACTCACTCAGCAAAGTGTGAGTCTTAACATATAAAAAAAATTTTTTTAATCATTTAGAGGTTGGGGAATCCCAAGATGGAATACAGACTGTGACAAAAGAATATAATTGTTTTATAAAATGTATGCTATGACCTCACAGAATGGGGTCAGAGTAAAATTTACTGATGTAAATAAATTTGGAAATGAGTAGCATCTGTAAGAATAAAGGCAAATGGAACTGCACATAGGCAATGTACTCTAGTTGGTAAAGTAGTTTCCCACAGGAGTACAAGTCAACAATTCTGATATTGCTGTATGTGTATAGTAGGATTAAACAATTAAGTAAACACATGGCAAATGATGTGAGCTAGGTTTCACACTGTTGGAGTGGAAGTTTATAGGTAAGCTGGAGGAGGCTAGAATGATCCATGTGGTAATAGATTAGAGTTTGAGACACCAGTGTAAACTCATGTTTAGCTTAATATAGATGAAAATGGTTAAACATAGATGTATTTATCGATATGTGTATATACACAAGTTAATATATGCATGTCTATATTTTTGCTTTGTCAACTGAGAGGGTTTAGAAGTATTGATATATTACTAGCAACAAGCACACTTATTACCCAGATTTTGGTTTCTAATACTATTCTCCAATCAAAGTAATCAGGGATCCTTGGAAAAATGACTGATTCTAAGACTGGGGCAGGAAATGCATAAGAGGATCTCAGAACATCTTTTAGTACTAGAAATTAAAGATGTGTTCAAAGAGGAAAAAATAATTGGTGTGGGTACGGCAAAAGGACACAGGAGACAACTGGAAGAGCGCCCAATGCCCAAAGTTGAAACACTTTGAGCAAAAAAATAGATAAAGTAGTGTTTAAAATAAATATTTATGAGTACATACTGATATAAACAAATGACTGGATAAATGGGGAAGAAGAGAGAAATATCTCTTGTAGATGAATTCCAAATAATTCCTTGAGTAAGGGATACACATAGTGACTTATTTCCAAAGAGCACAATATGGAAAGGGAAGAAAAAGAGAAATTTTACAATGGATAAATCTGACAAACACTCCCTCAGCCAGGTGATCAGGGTCAACATCAACAATGATAAGAAATGTTGATAGTATATACCTTGCTCTGATGTAATGAAAGAGGCGCTTTACCCTATGTAATGAAAATGGTCTTTCTACCCCAAACTCATAACCCAAGTAGAATCATGTGGAAAACATCAAATAAATTCCAATTGAGGGCCATTATATAAAATATCTAACTAGTACTCTTTAAAACTGCCAGGGTCATCAAAAGCAAAGAAAGTTTAAAAAACTGTCATAGCCAAGAGGAGCCTAAGAAGACATGAAAACTAAAAATAATGCATTATTCTGGATGGGATCCTGGAACAGAAAAAGCACATTAGGTAAAAACTAAAGAAATCTGAGTAAAGTACTGGGGCGCCTGGGTGGCTCAGTCTGTTAACCGTCAGACTTGGGCTCAGGTCATGATCTCTTGGTTTGTGAGTTTGAGCCCTGCATCAGGCTCTGTGCTGACAAGCTCGGAGGCTGGAGCCTGCTTCAGATTCTGTGTCTCCCTCTCTCTCTGCCCCTCCCCTGCTCATGGTCTGTCTCTCAATAATAAATAAATGTTAAAAAAAATTTTTTTAAATAAAAAAAAAGTAATCTGAGTAAAGTACTATCTCAGCATTAGTTCAATAATTGAGACAAAGGTATCATATTAATGTAAGATGTTAATAATAAGGGAAACTGGGTGTAGGGTATATGGGACTCTACTTTCAGTTTTTATTTAAATCTAAACTGTTCTAAAAAATAAATATTTTTTAAAATTATAAATAATTAAAATATGGGGGACACCTGGGTGGCTCAATCAGTTAAGTGTCTGACTTCAGCTCAGGTCATGATTTGGCAGTTTGTGGGTTCAAGCCCTGCGACGAGCTCTGTGCTGACAGCTTAGAGCCTGGAGCCTGCTTCAGATTCTGTGTGTGTGTCTCTCTCTGTCCCTCCCCCACTTGTGCTCTGTCTCTCTCTCTCTCACTTTCTCTCTCAAAAACAAACATTAAAATTTTTTTAAGTAAATAATTAAAACATGGAAAAATAGTTACAGCCTTTGCAGTAATTTCAGTTTTAGGAATATATCTTGAAGAAATAGCTACTGTGTTATCTTATGGTAAAGTAGATTTTACAGTAGTACCTACAGCATAAGCATGCTATGAAACTTAAATGAGGTCAGCCTATACAAGTAGCATGAGAACTCAATAAATATTGGTTGCTGCTGTTTTGACTCTGACCCAGGCACAATCCTTAAAGAGCTAACAGTGTAATAGAGAGATAAGTAAATGAGCTAATAATCTACTGCCTCTGCTTCTGGAACCCAGTAAATATAGTAGTAACAATGGTATTAACCTCAACAGCCTTGATGACAAATTTAAGACCGGAGTATGATGGAATGCAATGGAAACCAGAGGATCTCCTAACTTAGACTGGGAATGCCAGTGCCTCTCTAGAAAAGGTAAATAGCCAAGATATATGTCATGCATAAATGTTAACCAGTTCATGTGTTCATTCGGCAAACATTCATTGAGTCACTGCTCTGTATGTCAGTCACTACTCCATCATTTTTTTTTTGAGAAATCAAAAGTGATTTCCCCATCATATTGATGCCTTCTATAACTTGTACTTTTTCTTTAAAATAGACGATATCTGTCAGTATCATATCGGGAACCAATGGGCATCATTTGGAGAAAACTTTCTCTGTAAATTGGAAAGTGTTGTCCTGGCCAAGACATATATAGAATTAAATTGCATGGGTTTGGATGTGAATAGGACCTTAGTGATCATAAAATTCTCCCTAGTTATAAAGTCAAAGTGGAAAGTGAAAGAAATATTATGCTGTCATGTTCTACTGAGAAGATCATTAAACCAATAAACTAAATCAAATCTGTAAGTAATATGGTCTAACTTAACTCATCAGCAAACTCCCAAATTATAATTGGCAAAGATTCAGCAACATTTCTTATATTACTAGTAAGATTTTGGTCTAGAATGATACAGAAAGTTTCCAAGTAAAGGTTGACACATGAATTAGCGTTGGCCACAAAATTAACAAAACTATGAAATAATTAGTCTCATGGTAAATTTCTGGTAGTATGCATTCATCCTTTTCTGATCTAGGGTAAATAAGGATACGACTGAAGGAAAGCAACACATTTTTAAACACATTTTATTAGATCCTAACTAGTATGTTCCTTATTTTACTGAAAGAATTTTCCTTTGGCGTTTTGTCTGCAACAGATCATAGATATTAAGAGCAACTAGGAAGATAATTGTTATAATGGAAAGCATCCTGGACCAGGAATCATGGAGAGCTTACGTCTATTTTTATCTCTGGCTCTAAGGTGTGTGGGCATGAATAAGTCACTAGTCACTTTATAGTTCTCTGTATCTGATAAATGAAGATAATTCATTCTCTATCTACTTCATGAAATTGTTATATGGGTGAAATGAGATAATGAATATGAAAGTATATTTAAAGCATAGCATTTTACTACTGAAATTGTTACTAATAAATGTACTTAAAAGAGAATAAGTTCTTCATGGAAAATTGAAAAGATTTTTAAAAAGATATTGAGATATATCTCTCTTCATTAGTAGTTGAATTGAGTAACCATAAATAATATTCTAAAAATTTACTTTGTATAAAAAGGAAATAAGCACTGATAACTATCTCTTTCCATGTGGAAAAAGTATAGCCCTCTAGGTATTCTATTATATTTTCTCATGTTGAAAAAAACCTCCCCCCAGGGCACCTGGATGGCTCAGTCAGTTAAGTATCCGACTTTGGCTCAGGTTATGATCTCACTGTTCATGGGTTTGAGCCCCACGTCAGGCTCTCTGTGCTGACAGCTCAGAGCTTGGAGCCTGCTTCAGATTCTGTGTCTCCCTCTCTGTGCACTTTCCCTGCTTGCACTTTGTCTCTTTCTCTCTCTCAAAAATAAATAAACATTAAAAAAATTAAAAAGAATAATGAAAAAACCTCCCCCCATACCTTTATTTTTTTAAGTTTTATTTATTTATTTTGAGAGAGAGAGAGAGAGAGAGAGGCAGAAAAAGAAGGAAAGAGAGAATCCCAAGCAGGCTATGTGCTTTCAATGTAGAGCCCAATGTGAGGTTCAATCTCACAAACCATGAGATCATGACCTGAGCCAAAATCAAGAGTCAGTTACTTAACCAACTAAGCCACCCAGGCACCCCACACCCTAGATAACTTGGAATTTTTAATTATTTTTATTGTTCTTAAAAAGAATAGCATGAATTATATTCTCTAGTATTTTATTAGATATTCTCTTCTCTCTCCTAGAGTTATTGAAGGATATATTGGGAAAGGAGAACTTAAGTTTTCTTTAGGATTTTTTCTGTCCCTTCATGACAAATACTTCCATCCCTTCTTTCTCTATCATGTTTTCTTTTCAGTAATTCATAGGAGGTGAGAGAAATATACAGTTTTCCTAACAAGTTGTATTTTCTTTTTTTTAATTTTTTTTTATCGTGTATTTATTATTGAGAGACAGAGCATGAATAGGGGAGGAGCAGAGAGAGAGACACAGAATCTGAAGCAGGCTCCAGGCTCTGAGCGGTCAGCACAAAGCCCAACGCGGGGCTCGAACTCACAAACCGCAAGATCATGACCTGAGCTGAAGTCAGACGCCCAACTGACTGAGCCACCCAGGCACCCCCCCTAACAAGTTGTCTTAAAAGGGCAACTCTAGGGGCACCTGGGTGGCGCAGTCGGTTAAGCGTCCGACTTCAGCCAGGTCACGATCTCGCGGTCCGTGAGTTTGAGCCCCGCGTCAGGCTCTGGGCTGATGGCTCAGAGCCTGGAGCCTGTTTCCGATTCTGTGTCTCCCTCTCTCTCTGCCCCTCCCCCGTTCATGCTCTGTCTCTCTCTGTCCCAAAAATAAATAAATGTTGAAAAAAAATTAAAAAAAAAAGGGCAACTCTAGAGGTGTTGTGCAGTGATTTTTAGCTTCCTAGATGAAGCCGATGTGGATAACAGTCCTCAAAAGTAGGCTTTATCTGCATCAGCATGGAGGAGAAAAACACAGCAGGTATTCACATTTGTGAGGAAATTACTGGACAGAAAAGAAAGAAGGCCTTAGAGGTAGATTGATTCCTATATAGTAATAGGAGTTATTTAAGAGTAGGGACTATGTCCTATTCATCTCTATATATGTGATGCTATGAACAGTGCCTGACAGTGACTAGATGTTCAATATAGATGGCAAATGTTGGGTGGATGGATGGATGGATGAATGGATGAATGGATGGGTGGATGGACAAGTAGTTATCATAGACTTACCTAGAAAATATAGATTAGGAATGCTGGGTGGCTCAGCTGGTTAAATATCCAACTCTCAATTATGGCTCAGGTCATGATCTCATGGTTTGTGAGACTGAGCTCCCCCCCACCCCCCACTGGGCTCCACGCTGACAGCACGGAACCTGCTTGGGATTCTTTCTCTCCTTCTATCTGCCCCTCCCCTCTCAAAATAAATAATTAAACACTTTTTAAAAAGAAAATATAGACTAAAGCAGTGTATCATAATCTCTTTCAGTCTTGTAACTTGGCAGGATTGAGGATAGGGGTGGGAATAACAGTCAGGCACCTACACATGTGCACACTGGGCATCCTATCTCTTTCTCTAATTACCAGTGCCAGTCTCCATTCTCCTAATAATCATTTGGCAAAAATAAATAAAACCAAAGTACCGTGAAGATTGTTATTTACAATGCACTGAGCTTTACTAATTTGCTCGCTAGGAAATAGTTAGATTATAGTGTGTGATGAATATTTATAAAAATCTCTATTCACTATAATTGATACTTAAGCATTTTATTCAAAGTTTTGTAGCATTACAAATGTAAATGAGCAGACATTTCTTCTGAGTAGGAATGTGGGGCAAAAGAGTAAAGCTGAATATAAACAAAGTCAAAAAGAAGAAGAAGGCAAAAAACCAAAACGCTGTGACAGCAGAACATCTAGAACCAAGCAATGATTTCTTGTCATGTACACATTCTGAACGATCCTTTCTATGTCCTGCCTGAATATGAATTTACAGCATCTGTTCTCTTTGATATTATGCAGCAAGAAGGACATGTATCCTGTAACACTGCTGGTGAGTAATAAGAAAAGAAGAAGCTAATACCACCATCTTTACCATTTGGGTATTCCCAAAATAGCACTTCTTATTCCATAGTCTTTTAATTAAATTACTATAATAATGATAAGATATGAGTGGAAGGAGCTTACATCAGAGGTAGAATAGTAAAATTCCTACAGCTTCCATAAAATGAACATAAATGAGGGACATTTTTGTATCTTTTGACACAAATGCTCACCAGTAAATATAGAAGGAATAATAAGAGTAGAAAAGCCACGATTTTTCAGCAGCTGTAATAATAGTTGATTCTGGCTAGAACTATCAATAGATGCAGGATAGTCATATAACCTGAAACATCACTTAACACAGCTCACATTAATTACAAAGGGGAGAAGGAAGTTTTACAATGGATAATTGGCAGATAGTATCTTAATGACCAGTCAAGGTAATATGACCAATAAGGGACAAAGTGATGGCATGTATCTTCTGAGGTGAGGCACTGCAAAGGCTATCATGTATGCAACACTACGTGGTACCATGTCTCTAAAGGGGCAAGCAGGCTCCTCTTCACAAGGCTTTCAGGGAAGCTGTCAGTGTCAGTTATAATATGAAATGCAGATGAAACTCTTGGGAGTCAGTTTTAGCAAAATATATTGGCAGCAAGTATTTCTGGGAGATTCTGTGTCTTCTCATATATTTTATCATATATACTTTTAAAATAAAAGCATAAAAACAATACAATGCAATACTTCTTGCCCTGGAATTTCACGTTTGTGTTATATGATAAGGGCTATATCTGTGTGTTTGAGAGATGGGAGGGTGGTGAGGGAGGTTGGACCAGTCATTATTTGTTATGTATCTGTCAGAAGGTATCTCCCTCTTTCATTCCTTGCTTTTCTTTCTTTCTTTTTTTCCAAATTTAACCTTGATATTGGAACCAATGCTTCAAAAAGCCCAACAAAGGGGAAAATATATACCAGTGCATATCTTTATGCTGAAGACTTCAATAACTCAACACTGAGAAACTGGTGTGATCCTGGATTCACAGTCCCTGTCTAGCATAGTCCTGCGAGGCCTGGCCTGTCTCTGTCCCTTCCTATTCTGCTGTAGCCCCAGGAAGCCCGGCTAGCTCTAGGGCTACCCTGATCCAATACCCCCCCATACCAGAGCAAGAGCATCCCCTCTCCTGAACCCCAATTTTCACAAAACACACCAAGAAATACAGTTATTAATAAACACATTCTATCTCTGTTACTCCTCTAGTGCTTGGCTTTGCACAGTGTTATTTGTAACCCTAAACATCCACTCTTGTTTCTCACTCCATTCACACCCCAAGGAAATGCTTCCCCAAACCTCTTATTCTAGGACCTTGGAAACAAAAGGCACCTGCACCCATGAGAGATCGTGGGTTGTGCCATGGCCAACAGCAGAAACGGACAATGCTTCAGAGGACTATTAGTGGTAGAAGTGCTGAGATTAGAGAAAGACTAATTAACTAGTCAAGTTCTTTCTCTTAACATCATTCCCAGTAGTGTGGAACATCCATTTGCTTGCTTCTCTTTGTGTTTCAATGTATGGGTCAGAAGACCCTCACCAATTAATATGGTATTTGTAACAGCGCACATGGCTGTCCAATATGGTAGCCTTAACCACATGAGGTTGTTGGGGCACCTGAAATGTAGCTACTCCAACAGAGAAGTGCTGTAAGTGTAACATAAACATTGAATTTTGAACATTCAATGTGAAAAAAAGAATATAAAAAGCTTCATTAATTGTTATAATATTGATTACATGTTGGAATAATATTTTAATATGTTCAATTAAATAATATATATTATTAAAATTAATTTTAATTACTTTAAATATTTACTTGTTAATTCTAAAATTTTTAATGTAAAAAAGTAGAAGTTATGCATATAGCTTGCACAATATTTCTATTGGATGGTGCTAATCTAGACATAATATTTATAAAATGTGATACTGATTCTTTATTAACAATTAAATGGATATGCAATGCTAGTATCGTAAATAGCTTTGTTTTTGTTTTAATTGAGATATAACTGAAATATAACATATTGCTTTCAGGGTTAACAATTGTCATCATACATACTTATACATATTTTTTTAATGAAGAGAACTTTTAAGATCTACTCTCTTAGCAACCTTTAAATATTCAATATAGTGTTATTAACTGTAGTCACTATACTGTACAATTGCATGCTCAGAACTTATTTTTTAACTAGAAGTTTATACCTTTTGATCACATTTACCTATTTTTTCCACCCCTCTTCCCCTAACTCCTGCAACCATCAGTCTGTTCTCTGTATCTATGAGTTTGGTGTTCAGGGTTTCTGTTTTGTTTTAACATTTCACATATAAGTGAGATAATACAGTATTTGTTTTCCTCTGTCTGACCTATTTCATTTAGCATAAAGCCCTCAAGGTCCATGAATGGATAGTTTTATTTTTATAAAAATGTTTAATAAGATTTAATTAATGTTTAAAGATGATTTAAAAAATCAACTTAATTTAATAAATTTGATTACAATTTTTCATATTCATTGATCATAATTTGTATTTTGACTTAATTTTAATATATATAATTTGAATATTTTGGAAGAAGATGACTTTTTAGGAAAATATATGTAACATAATCATAATTTTTATATTTATTTTAATTTTGCTGAAAATATATTCAAATTTTGTACTCAATATAGTTGCAACTAATTTTTAATCTTTTCACTCTTTACTGTCAATAGAACACAAATAATGTAAAAATCTTAATTAGAGTAACATAGTGAGTTACCTTTTTCTAATGAAAGTAAGAAAAATAAATGTATGGAATGAGTCAACTTATAAATGATTTATAAATTATATAGCTTTATGTTATTATTAATATAAACATCTATGACCCATCAACAACAAAAATCCCTAAAAGGTAGTGTAATAATTAAACTCAAATGTCTTTTATGTTTTGCCAACTGTCAGTAACACCAGCCATAGCTTTAAACATGTATTTTATTTTTGTTATTATGAGTGTACTGCTGTTTCAGTAGGAGGAGAGAACATATTTCATCTTATAACTTGTTAGCCTGACCTATACACAACATTTAAGTATTTAGATATATGGTCATGTGGACCTCTACTTGTACTCTTGCTGTGGAGCTTGCAAATGTTAGGGGTGGACCTTTTCTGATCATCCCAGGGTAACCAAGAATTTCTAAGTAAGCACGATATTCTCCATGGAACCACATCATGTGAAGCTTCCATGGTTTCCGGGGAAGCTTTAGAGCTGAGAACATTCGTTTGGCCTTCTCAAGGTCTTTGTGACCCAAATAGGGTGTCCAGCCTAACTCATCGGCACATTTACGCCTGGGCCTAGATGAAAGGGGTGAATCTAAGAAATTGGTGGGGAAGAGAATAAACCTAACGATGTCTTTGCACATGTGTCTTCCTACTTTTGCCTTTTCCAGACTAAGTTAAATAGCCTGGTTGGCAATTGCTGAGACAGGTTTAAAGCCAATTCAGTATTTCTGAAATATATGCAATATCATGGCTGCGGTGCCAACTTTGGTAGAAACTGGGTCAAAGGGTGGAGTAGGAGGAAGGGATGTTCTTCAAATGGAGCACTCAGCCATCTGCCAACTAAGCTATGCTTGAAGAGTAAGGTTCTTGGAGAACACAAAGGAAAATTGTGAGTGGTGTTGTTTATTAAGTTGATTCACATATTATTTTAATAATACATGAGAAGGGACAACCACAAAATGCATCAATCCAATACGAATAGAACTATGAATTATATCTATCCCTGGACAAGCTTTACTCAACTTTGAAAATTAGTAACTATTTTCAGTAACAAAAACTGTAGAATTATGAGTGGTCATTACGGCAGGAGTAAAAATGGACTTGGAAGCGGAAATCCAGAGTCCTAGTCCTACTTTTGCTATTTTCCAGTCATATAACTGAGGGTAAGTCACTAAACTGATCTAATCTTCAATCTCCTGCCTGAAAAATGATGAAAAATATGTTATGCCTCTTTCATAAACTGATATGAGGATCAAAATGAGACACTTTGAAAACTGTAAAGTTATTTACAAACAGAAAACATCATTTTTTGTTTCACTCTTGATATTTCCTTCAGGAATTGGGACTGATTTCTATAATAGCTATTATCATTACATATTGATATGAGTTTATTTAATGTGATTATATTGTAGGATATATTTTTTCCCAAATGACTACAATTCAGAACTCTAAATCACCAATTATTTTTTTTTAACGTTTATTCATTTTTGAGAGACAGGGAGAGGCAGAGCGTGAGTGGGGGAGGGACAGAGAGTGAGGGAAACACAGAATCCGAAGCAGGCTCCAGGCTCTGAGCTGTCAGCACACAGCCTGACGCAGGCTCAAACCCACAAACCATGAGATCATGACCTGACCCGAAGTCGAACACTTAACCAACTAAGCCACCCAGGTGCCCCTAAATCACCAATTATTAAATATCCAAACTTTATTAAAGTATTATTCCAAAGAAACTTATTTTTTTTTAATTTCATCAATTTCGCTAAGAGTGCTATATTTCCCCCTTGAATTCCTATTTCTCTTTCCCTCTTATTTCATTTAAAAAAATCAGATGACTTATTTCCTATAAGATACTTATGTTGTCAAAAAAAAATTACCATTTACCAATGTCTGCTTTTCTTCTGTCTCTCCTTCCTGCACTCATCTACAGTTGATGGGGAAGGTGTCTCCTAATTTTCTCATCTTGAGTGTTTTTACAGAAAGGGACTCTTGTGGCTCTCTTCTTCACCCTTGAACCATCTGTGGGTTCCACTCTGACAGGACTAGTTGGGCTGTTGGACACTCCCTGTGCAATCTTGCCCTATCAGATAAATCAGGGAGTGAGCCTCTGACAGGTACTGCTGTCACTATCCGGGTGTCCATGGCGCAAAGTGGCACTCTAATCAGACCCTGCGTACACATGGTTGTGCAAGAGGCTATGGGTGGGTGACTTTTTCCTCGCCCCAGATAAATGCCTCACTGATTCTGTGTGCTCAGAGTCCATGAAATCCTTTCTTAAGATTTGAAATAAAAGAGAATGTTATGAAAATATTAAGGCATTACTCCTATCACTAACAGATCATAGCATTTAATTATGTAAGAAAACTTCAGGCACCCAACTATTAGAATAAAATAACGTATTAAATTCTTTTATTAAATGAGGAAAGCTCTTGGTCACTTTATGTATTCAGGTAATAAGTTAATTCAGGCTCCTCCCAGGCAATTCAATTAGAAGATAATTTTAAATAGGACGGGTAGATAGATGGATAGATAAGAAAAGACTTTAACCACTCTGTGCCTGATTTAATAATTTAAAATAAGTTATTTTAGAATTTCAGAATACTGCTTATAATGTTGATGGTCACAGCTCTGTGTTACGTAGTTAACTATATGTGTTTTAGTTGTTATAAATGTTCTGTAGTAATTCATGTTGATGACTTTTTTGGAATTATTTATTCTAAATAGGTGACCAGTCCCTTAGT